ACTGGAGACCCATGACCAGTGGTGTGCCACAAGGATCGGTGCTGGGTCCACTGCTATTTGTCATTTATATAAACGATTTGGATGTGAACATAGGAGGTATGGTTACTAAGTCACAGATGAGACCAAAATTGAGTAGTGGACAGCGAAGAATGATACCTCAGAGTACAACGGGATCTTGATCAGATGGGCCAATGGGCTGAGGAGTGGCAGATGGAGTTTAATTTAGATAAATGTGAGGTGCTGCATTTTGGAAAGGCAAATTGGGGCAGGACTTATACACTTAATGGTAAGGTCTTGGGGAGTATTGCTGAACAAAGAGATCTTGGAGTGCAAGTTCATAGTTTCTTGAAAGTGGAGTCACAGTGGATAGGATAGTGAAGAAGGTGTTTAGTAAACTGACCTTTATTGGTCATTGCATTGAGTATAGGCATCGGGAGGTCATGTTGCAGCTGTACAGGACATTGGTTAGGCCACTTTTGGAGTATTGCGTGCAATTCTGGTCTCCCTCCTAAAGGAAGGATGTTGTGAAACTTGAAAGGGTTCAGAAAATATTTACAAGGATGTTGCCAGGGTTGGAGGGTTTGAGCTACAGGGAGAGGCTGAATAGCCTGGGGCTATTTTCCCTGGACTGTTGGAGGCTGAAGGGTGATGTTATAGAAGTTTATAAAATCATGAGGGGCATGGATAGAATGAATAGACAAGGTCTTTTCCTGGGGTGGGTGAGTCCAAAACTAGAGGGGCATAGGTTTAAAGTGAGAGGGGAAAGATTTAAAAGGGACCTAAGAAGCAACTCTTTCACGCAGAGGGTGGTGCATGTATGGAATGAGCTGCCAGAGGAAGTTGTGGAGGGTGGTACAATTACAACATTTAAAAGGCATCTGGATGAGTACATGAATAGGAAGGGTTTAGAGGGATATAGGCCAATGCTGGCAAATGGGACCACATTAATTTAGGATATCTGGTTGGTGTCGACGAGTTGGATCGAAGGACCTGTTTCCGTGCTGTACAGCTCTATGTTTTAATTAAGTTGCCTCCGACTCTTCTAAACTCCAGAGGCCTGTCTGGCCTTTCCTCATATGGCAATCCACTCATGCTGGGTATTAGAATCCCTACAGCGTGGAAGCTGACCCTCTGAAGAGCATCCCACCCAGACCCACACCTCTATCTATCTCTGTAATCTTGTATTTACCATGACCAATCCGCCTAACCTAAACACCCCAGGACACTACAGGCAATTTAGCACAGCAATCCACCCTAACCTGCAAAACTTTGGATTGCGGGAGGAAACCCACGCAGACACGGGGAGAATGTGCAAACTCCACACAGACAGTTGCCTGAGGCTGGAATCAAACCCACGGTCACTGGTGCTGTGAGGCAGCAGTGCTAACCACTGTGCCACTGTGCTGCCCATTATCTGGTAAACCTGTTCTGAACTGTTTCCAACACATTGACATCCTTCTGTGAGTACAGTGACCAACGCTGTACACAGTGCTTCGGGTGTGGACTCACCAATGCAACAGTACAGTGTAGTTATTAACAAAACCACCACGTAGGGACTGAGGGAGGGGCCAAAATCAAAGTGGATTGGAGGAGGAACATAATCTCTGATGAAGGGTCTAGGCCCGAAACGTCAGCCTCTCTGCTCCTATGATGCTGCTTGGCCTGCTGTGTTCATCCAGCCCTGCACCTTGTTGTCTCCAACTTCTCTGGTGCCTACTTTTCTCTAAGTGCCTCTAAAAACAAGCCCTTTTTTATTGCCATCAAATCTACCATGACTGAATTTCAGTTAATGAATTAAATGCACAGGGCAGCACAGCAAATACTACAAGATATAGGAGTAGATTTAGGCCATTCAGCCCATTGAGCCTGCTCCCCTATTTGATCATGGCTGATATGTTTCTCAACCCCATTCTCCTGCCTTCTCCCCGTAACCCTTGATCCCCTTACCAATTGAGAATGTATCTATCTCTGTCTTAAATACACTCAATGACTTGGCCTCCACAGACCTCTGTGTCAACAAGTTTCACAGATTCACCACCCTTTGGCTGAAGAAATTCCTCGTTATCTCAGTTCTAAAGGGTCATCCCTTCACCCTGAGGCTGTGCTCTCAGGTCCTAGTCTCTCCGAGTCGTGGAAACATCTTCTCCGTGTCCACTCTGTCCAGGCCCCTCAGCATTCTGTGAGTTTCAATCAGATCCCCCCTCATCCTTCTAAACTCCATCGAGTACAGACCCAGAGTCCTCACTTGCTCCTCATATGACAAGCCCTTCATCCCTGGGATCATTCTCATAAACCCCCTCTGGACCCCCTCCAAGGGTAGCTCATCTTTCCATAGATATGGGCCCTAAAACTGCTCACAATATTCCAAATGTGATCTGACTAGAGCCTTATACAGCCTCAGCAGTACGTCTCTGCTCTCTTTTCTAGCCCTCTTGAAATGAATGCTAACATTGCATTTGCCTTCCTAACTGCCAACTGAACCTGTATGTTAACCTTAAGAGAATCCTGAACTGGGACTCCCAATGTCTTTTGTGCTTCAGATTTCCAAAGCCATTCTCCATCTAGAAAATAGTCTGCACCTCTATTCTTCTGACCAAAGTGCATAACCTCTCACTTTCCTACACTGTATTCCATCGGCCACTTCTTTGCCCAGTCTCCTAACGTGTCCAAGTCCTTCTACAGCTTCCCTACTTCCTCAACGCTACCTGTCCCTCCACCTCTCTTTCTGTCACCTGCAAACTTAGCAACAATATTCTCAATTCCTTCGTCCAGATCATTAATGTACAACAAAAGGATATAGAAAAGAGGAGGGAATTAAATTAAAATGGAGTTGGGGGTGTGGGCCGAGGTGGGGGGGGGGGGGGGGGGGGGGAGGAAGGCATCCTGTGTCCCAGCTCTCCCTAAATGCCTCTAGAAACAAGCTTTGTGATTTTTTCCTATATCTAGAGGTGCTTTTACGTACCTCTGAACAGTCTCTTTTCTGCCTAACTTACCTAAGTTTGTTTTTTCCCCTTTATTGTCCACCTCAAAATCCCCCATGTTTCTGAATCGATTACCAATTTACATACATATCCTGTGAGAGGCAGTGTAATGACAACAAATCTGAGGGAGAGGTAGAGGGGAGGGGGAGGTGATGAAATTAAGATGGAGTTGGAGGAGGGAGTGTAATGTATTCCAATTCCCATCATGCCCACCTCTCTCTAAATGCCTCTGAAGCCATTCCCTTTCATTTTTGTTTACTTTTTCAAATATTTCTCTATATTCGGACACAACTGATAACGCAAACCCTTCTCACGAAATCTCGGTGGTATTTTCTCATCCATTAACCACCTTCAGTAAATCACCCATGTTTCCAATTTACGTTAAGCGTCAATGCAGATCATCAAAGGTGAGGGAGAGGTCTGGAGAGTGGGAGGGGTGAAATCAAAATGTTGTTGAATTGGGTGATAATGCACTCCACTCCCTGAGGTGCCCATCACTTTGTCAGTGCCTCTAAACCAGCCTTTAAATACATGCTCCAAGAATATCAATTACTCAATATTATCCTCAGAACATGAGCCTAGTCATTCTTAAAGGGATATTTTTTACAACATTACCCTGTCCTACCTATTGTACCAACACCAGTTTATAATTGAGGGATACACAGGCAGAAGCCAGGTAGGTAGGTGATGGTGTGATGGTGTTATCACTGTACTGTTAATCCAGAGACCCAGCTAATGTTCTGGGGACCTGGGTTCAAATCCCACCATGGCAGATTGTGGGATTGGAATTTAACAAAAATCTGGAATTAAGAGCCTAAATCATTGTTGGGGAAAATCCCATCTTGTTCACTTTAGGGAAGGAAACTGCCATCCTTGCCTGATTCCAGAATGTGGTTGACTCTTAACTGCCCTCTGGGCAATTAGGGATTGGCATTAATTGAGACCTGGTCAGTGACACTGACATCTCGTGAATGAAAAAAATCCCAAGGCAGGGTTTAAAACCACACAGTGGAATCAGATTTACAAAGAATGTTGCTTAGCCTATGCTGTCTGTGCCTGCAATACAACATGACACTGGTCAGAGATGATAGAGAGAAGCTGTTTGCACAGAATTCAAAAGTCGTGTATGCCTTGCCTGAGAGATAATCATTCAGTAACCCTGCTAATTGAAATCTCTCAGACTGCACCATGCCAGAGCAGTGATCTTTCCTGACCTTGTTTGTGATTCCAGCTCAGTTGGTGCAATTTCTTTTTTCTCTCTTTTTCACTAGATACCTGTTGCTAATAATCAAATGATTAACTTGCATCAGTCCTAAGTGACTGGCCATGGGTCACTTAAGACAGAGATGAGGAGGAATTTCTTCTCTGGAAGGGTAGTGAATCTGTGAAGCGGTCTTCATTTCAAAGGAGTATAGAAGCGGGGAAGTTTTGCTAAATCAGACCGCTGAGCACAGCTAGAGTACAGTGAACAGTTATGGGGGCCATTATCTAAGGAGAGGTATACTGGTATTGGAAGCAGTCCACAGAAGGTTCACTAAGCTGATACTATGTACAGAGGGACTGACTTATGAAGAGAGGTTGAGTAGGTTCGGCCTGTACTCATTAGAGTTTACAAGAATGAGAGCAGGCCTTGTTGAAACATATAAGATTCATTCAATATGATCATGGCTGATCATCCAACTTAGGACCCTGTTTCTGCCCCTCCCTTTGATCCCTTTAGCCCCAAGAACTATATCTAACTCCCTCTTGAAAACATTCAATGTTTTGGCCTCAACTGCTTTCAGTGGTCGGGAGTTCGACAGGCTCACCACTTTCTGGGGTGAAGACATTCCTCCCTATCTCAGACCTAAATGGCTGACCTGGTGTCCTCAGATCATCAGGAACATCCTTCTTTTTGGAAGTTGATTATTTGGCCAAGGCGAGGGAATAGAGTGGACTACATTCACATCATGTATTACCTTAGTGCTGTTTGTACCGAGAGTAAATGATTAACTCATCTTTGTTCTGCTTTGCTTCCAGTTACAGGAGGAAACTCAGTCGACATGTTGCTGCATGTTGGTGTTATCGGAAGACAATGGTCAGCTCTTCTGTCGGGTCAGTGCTGGGGGGTGCTGTGGTCAGGGGGTGCTTCACAATCCTGCACATTGTTTGACAGGGTCAGCAGTGAGGTAGCCATTGACATCAATGCCTCCTACTGACTCAAAGAAGTCATGGAGTGGAAGGAGGCTTCCAGGTTCTTTGACACACCTTCTAGCTCCCCCCTGTAGGCTGATCGAATGCTGTCTACTGCCATTTCTTGTGACATTGAACCCCAGCTCCCATGTGTCTTTGTTGTATCTTCCAATCAACCTGTTCGGGGATGTTTTTATACACTGCTGGAGCAGGTGGGACTTGAACCTGGGTGTCCTGGTTCAGAGGTAAGGACACTACCCATTGGACTTTGTTAGCTGAAGCGTATGTTGAAATTCTGTGAAGCAGCAATTAGCCCACTGTCGACTGCCATGTGCGTTACTGGCTGCTGCATCATAAAACTGAAGTGACCACACTGGAGACAAAGAGAACAAAGAGCAAAGAAAATTACAGCACAGGAACCGGCCCTTCGGCCTTCCAAGCCTGTACCGACATGCTGCCCATCACAACTAAAACCCCCTACCCTTCCGGGGACCGTATCCCTCTACTCCCATCCTATTCATGTATTTGTCAAGACGCCCTTTAAAAGTCACTATAGCATCTGCTTCCACTTCGTCCCCCAGCAGCCAGTTCCAGGCACCCACCATCCTCTGTGTAAAAAATTTACCTCGTACATCACCTTTAAACCTTGCCCCTCGCACCTTAAACCTATGGCCCCTGGTAACTGACCCTTCCACCCTGGGAAAAAGCTTCTGACTGCCCACTCTTTCCATGCCCTTCATAATCTTGTAGACCTCTATCAGGTTGCCCCTCAACCTCCGTCGTTCCAGTGAGAACAACCCAAGTTTCTCCAACCTCTTCTCATCACTAATGCCCTCCATACCAGGCAACATCCTGGTAAATCTTTTCTGTAGCCTCTCCAAAGCCACCACATCCTTCTGGTAGTGTGGCGGCCAGAATTGAACACGATATTACAAATGTGGCCTAACTAAGGTTCTATACAGGTACAACACTACCTGCCAATTTTTAAACTCAATGCCCTGGCCGATGAAGGTAAGCATGCCGTATGCCTTGTTGACTACCTTCTCCACCTGCGTTGCCACTTTCAGTGACCTGTGAACCTGTACACCCAGATCCCTCTGTTTTTCAGTACTAAATAACAATGCAGAAAAGAATTGTTTTCTTTGTTCACAACATGTGGATATCATAGAAACATAGAAAACAGCAGCAGGAGTAGGCCATTCAGCCCTTCGAGCCTGCTCCACCATTCAATTATGATCACGGCTGGTTGTTCAATTCAGTCCCCTGTTTCTGCTTTCTCCACATACCCTTTAATCCCTTTAGCCCTAAGAACTATATCTAACATCTTGAAACATTCAATGTTTTAGCCTCAATTGCTTTCTGTGACAAGAATTCTATGGGATCACTGCTCTCTGGGGGAAGACATTTCTCTTCAGCTCAGTCCGAAATGCCTCAGCCTGTCTCCTTGCACTGTAATCACTGGCAGTGCCAGCATTTATTGCCCGTCCCTAGTTGCCCCTTGAGAATGTGGTGGTGATCTGCCTTCTTGAACCGCTGCTGTCTACGTGCTGTTGGTAGACTCACAATGCCGTTAGGGAAGGAATTCCAAGACTTTGACCCAGGGACGTTGATGGAATGGTGATGTATTTCCAAGTCAGGATGGTGGGTGGCTCGGACGGGAAATTGGAGGTGGTGGTGTTCCCATGTATCTGCTGCCCTTGTCCTTCTGGATGGAAGTGGTCATGGGTTTGGAAGGTGCTGTCTCAGGATCTTTGGTGAATTGATTTGAAAGGAAGTTACCTGGACTGTAGAATGTTGGTGATGAGGAAAGATCGGAAAGGCTGGAATCATTTTTAAAAAAAAATTCATTCACAGGATGAGGACGTCGCTGGCTAGGCAGCATTTATTGCCCATCCCTAATTACCCAGAGGGCAGTAAGAGTCAACCACATTGCTGGGGTCTGGAGTCACATGTAGGCCAGACCAGGTAAGGATGGCAGTTTCCTTCCCTAAACGGCATTAGTGAACCAGATGGGTTTTTCCAACAATCAACAATGGATTCACGGTCATCATTAGGTTCTTAATTCCAGATGTTTATTGAATTCAAATTCCACCATTTGCTGTGGCAGGATTAGAACCCAGGTCCCCAGAACAGTATCTGGGTCTCTAGATTAACAGTCCAGCAACAATACCACAAGGCCATCACCTCCCATTAGGGCATAGTGGGTTGAAGGGAGAATTGATTGTAGAGGATAATTTGATGGTGGATTTAGAGACGGTGAAGGTCCAATTCTGTTTCATTGAGGGCCCGACAATCAAAGGCATTGATTTAGTGTAAGACGGAGATAGTTTAATTGGTAATCGAGGGGAATTCTTTTCATCCACTGAGGATCTGGAGGTCTTAGTGGCAGGAAACCTCATAACCTTTTTAAAATTTATCTGAATATGTGGTTTAAGTGCTAGAACGTGATTGGCTACACTCACTGTTGGTCAGCATGAGCAGTCATGGCCACCTTGTTTGCTTTAAATATAAATGACTGGCTTATTTCTCCTCTTCACTGGGTGCAATTGAACCTGATTGGGTTGCTGGATGCCTGGGGAGAGTTCATTCAGATGGTTCACCAGGGGCTAGTCTCTATCCCTACATTAAATCACTGAAGACTGAGTTTCTGGGCATTGTGATAAAACTGTTGTGGGGAGCCTGCCAAAGTATAAAATAACTGCCACAGTTCCAATATCACAATAGTGACCGCACCGAACATACGACTGCACAGGATAAGGAGCACTTCAAAGTGATCTGAGGTTTCAAAGGGTGCTTTGGAAATGCAGTACTTCCAGAGATTTGGGTCACACCTACCTTCAGAAACAATGCAGCAAACAAACCCACTTCAGAGGAGTTATTTCACAATTCTGTGCTGTCCCTGTCCTGGGAGTGTTTGATGGGGACAGTGTAGAGGAAGCTTTCCTCTGTATCTGACCCCCTGCTGTCCCTGTCCTGGGAGTGTTTGATGGGGGGGGGAACAGTGTAGAGGAAGCTTTCCTCTGTATCTAACCCTGTGCTGACCCTGTCCTTGGAGTGTTTGATGGGGACAGTGTAGAGGAAGCTTCACTCTGTATCTAACCCCGTGCTGTCCCTGCCCTGGGAGTGTTTGATGGGGACAGTGTAGAGGAAGCTTCACTCTGTATCTAACCCTGTGCTGTCCCTGCCCTGGGAGTGTTTGATGGGGACAGTGTAGAGGAAGCTTTCCACTGTATCTGACCCCCTGCTGTGCCTGTCCTGGGAGTGTTTGATGGGGGGGGGACAGTGTAGAGGAAGCTTTCCTCTATATCTAACCCTGTGCTGACCCTGTCCTTGGAGTGTTTGATGGGGACAGTGTAGAGGAAGCTTCACTCTATCTAACCCCGTGCTGTCCCTGCCCTGGGAGTGGATCTCTTGAGTTGGATGTCAGAGCAATGTACAATTCCACAGCAGCAACCTCCTTCATCGAGAACTGTTGCTATGACAATTCTTTCCACGTTCCAAGGTTAATTCATAATGAGTCCTTGCTGTCTAACTGAAGGAGCTGTGAAGTTGAATTGGAGAAGCTTTAATCAGTTCTGAACATGTTACTTTATTAGTTCCTTTTGAGGAAGGTGCTCTCCAATCAATGTAGTGCTCTTACAATAAATAGAGTCATTAACATTCTTCAGATAAAGTGCTCCTTATTCAATGTGATAGAATATTCAACTGAAGGCCAACATCTCAACAAAGCCCCACAGTTCAACACATGGGGATCTTCCAACTTCCTGCTTATTCATTGTCCTGGTGCCATTCTGTTCTTGAACAGTGGCATTTATAGCTCACAATCAGGAGTGCACTGTCTTGGAAGATTCCACACAGTGCCTCTGAAGAGGCAACTAGATGGCTACCTTAAAGGGAAACATGTTGGTGAGCTATGGGAGTGAATAGCTGGGATCCTAGCTCTGATCTCTGCGGCACCCATTAGCTCACTGGCTGCCATTTGGAAACAAATCTGTTAATTCCTACTCCTTGTTTATGGAGGCGCAGGAACAAATAACAAACTTGATTCACTGATATCCTTTAGGAAAGGAAGTCTGCCGTCCTTACCCAGTCTGGCCTGCGTGTGACTTCAGGCCTTTCAGCGATAGGGTTAACTGTTAACCACCCTCTGAAATGCCTGAGCAAACCACTCAGTTCAAGGGGCAGTTAAGGATGGACAGCAAATGCTGGCCTTGCCCAGTGCTACATGGGCTGTGAGGTAACTCACCATCAGGAAAGGTATTTGTGTTTAGTTTCATACATCACTGACTGGCTTAGAATTGATTGAACATTAAGTTTCAGATGCCCATCCTCAGCTGGATCAAAAAAAATCTCCTCAAATCCCACCTAGACCTGAAACTAAGTTCCTTAAATTGATGGATTGATCTCTCTGCTGAGAAAAGAAAAAAGATCTTTTATCTCCACTTTATCCTTTTATTCACCTCCGTTCAGAAGGAAATAAGAACTAGGAGCAAAGGTAGGCCCCTTGAGGCCATCCGCCATTCAATGTGATCATGGCTGATCTTATCTTGACCTCAACTCCACTTTCTTGGCCACTCTCCTTAAGCCTTTAAGCCATGACTAATTAAAAACCTGTCTCTCCCCTCCTTAAATTTACTCAGAAGTCACACGTTTATCAGAAATCACAAGCTTTCATAGCGCTGCTCCTTTGTCAGGTGAAGTGGATTTACTCAATGTCCCAGCGTCCACTACACTCTGGGGGGAGTGAATTCCACAGATTCATGACCCTTTGAGAGAAGTAATCCCTCCCTGTCTGTAACCAGAGCCGCCTCCCCTGCCTTTCCAATCTTTGCTCATTCATAAAGTTCTCCAGCCTTGGTAACATATGTGTAAATCAATCAGCTCCTTCCTGTAAAGTGGTGACGATGTGGCTTTCCGCATAAAGGTTTTTAACTTGTTCCTCCTGTTTCCCTTTCTGATAGGTTGTTGGAGATAAAGTTCTGGAGGAAGAGATTCTCTTTCCGGTGAGTTCTTGTGTACTATTGCACCTGAGCTATACTTGAATTCACTCCTGTCTCAGTTCCTCCATTGTTCAAGAACACTCCCCTGTTATTCCCAGACTTGACTGTTCCAGCACATGCCTACATGCCCTTCTCAATTGTACCCTCCATAAACATTCACTCCTTTATCCAAAACTCTACTGCTTGTGTTTTGACTTGATTTCGAGGTGCCGGTGTTGGAATTGGGTGGGGGGGATCAAAGTCAGAAATCACACAACATCAGGTTATTGTCCAACAGGTTTGTTTAAAATCACAAGCTTCTGGAGCACTGCTCCCTCATCAGGTGAAGGAAATCTGCAGATATACACCTGTATGTATGAGATTAGTGAGATGTGACGTGAACTTTCGAGAGTCAAAATGGGACAAGTTGAGTTTGGGATTATGGTTGGCATTGATGGGTTTGGACCAAAGGGTCTGTTTCCATGCTGTATGACTCTATAACAACTTTATCTGCTGAGCCCAGAAAAAAAAAACAAGCTGATTTGGAAACAGAGATTCAGTGTGTTTAGCCATCCTTACAAACTCTGGTTTTAAAACAGATCTTTCTCATTTCAGTCCCAAGTTTTTAAAAACACAAAATCAAAAGCTTACTCCCCCTAAACCTCTCTGCCTCTCTACTTCTCTCCAAATCCACTCTGAACAAGCTTTCTGTTATGTGAGCTTATTTTTTTTCAGCCTAACAGCACTTGTGCAAAGCTCCTTTGGATACTTAAGTATGTCAAGGTGCTTTGTTGTTATTGTTACACACAAATGTACATCAGTTCCAAGTAAATTTCTGTCTCCCTTGAGCTGAACAAATGCATTATTTGCAGTAGAATGGGTAGCACAGTCAACCAGCAGTTTGTGATTCTCTATATGTCAACTTTAGAATCCCTATAGTGTGGAAGCAGGCCATTCGGCCCACTGAGTCCACACCGACCCTCTGAGAGGCAACCTAATCCTCTACCCTATCCATCTAACATTGCATTCCCCAAGGCTAACCCATCTAGCCTGCACATCCCTGGACACTATGGGCAATTTAGCATGGCCAATCCACCCTAACCTGCACATCTTTGGACTGTAGGAGGAAACCAGAGGACTCGGAAAAATCCCACACAGGCATGGGGCGAATGTGCAAATTGTACGCCCGAGGGTAGAATTGAATGTGGGTCCCTGGTGCTGTGAAGCTGCTGTGCTAACCACTGAGCCTCTGTGCCACCGAGCCTTCATGCCCTATACCACAGGGAGTCAGGGTCATATTGAACCAGATGTCTTAAAGTTTATTACCAGCACTATTTATGCAGCTGCAATATCACAGAATTATACATCTAATCTGTGTTCTTTGCTACTGATGTTACTGTTTATTATTTACAATAACAGATTGACTGAAGGCACGACACTGACTCCATTACACACATGTACACACGTACATAACATACATAGGTGCACATATGCACGCACAGAGAAGGTGAGGCGCGTACCTTTATACCAGAGCTCCACATGTGATAGAACTGTCTCTATACATTCGGATAAGACCTTGATGTATGTACAGCATGATCATGGAATGTTTGTATTTATTTCAAAGCACAGAAAGCTAGCACACAGGGGCAGCAGGTAATCAGGAAGGGTCATGGAAAGTTGGCCCTTATTTCAGGGGGTTTAGAGTGTGAGTCTTACTGTAACTGTACAAGGTGCTGGGGAGACCACATCTGGAGCACTGTGAACAGTTTTGGTTCCCCTTGTTTAAGGAATGATATCATTTCATTGGAGGCAGTTCATTGGGATGATCCCTGATAGAGAGGGATTGTCTCACGAGCAAAGGTTAAACAGGTTGGGACTCTACTCACTGGAGTTTAGAAGAATGAGAGGCGATCTCATTGAAACATCTCGGATTCTTAAGGGGCTTGACAGGGTAAATGCTGAGAGATTGTTTCCCCTCATGGGAGAGTCTAGGACCAGAGGGCACAGTCTCAGTATAAAGGGGCACCAATTTAAGACTGAGATGAGGAGGAATTTGTTCTCTCAGACGGTTGTGAGCCTTTGGAACTCCTTGCCACAGAGAGCTGTGGGGCAGAGTCCTTGTGTATACTTAAGGCTGAGACAGATTCTTGATCAGTCGGGAATCAAGGATTACAGGGAAAGGGCAGGAAAGTGGACGTGAGGAATGTCAGATCAGCATTGAGTCTATTGAATGGTGCAGCAGGCTTGAGGGGCTGAATGGTCTACTTCTATCCTTTTCTTATGGTCTTATCAGATCTAGACTTGGTGGTTTAGCTTCATGCTTCATTGTGCTCTCTGTCATTGCGGATAGTTGTGAATTGGTTTGTCGTAAATGTATAATTCTGTATTGTATAATTAGGCATTCTGTCTAAAAGACCTGAGTTGTCATCTTGTGTGACAGGTGTTTGATGGGTATGTTGTCTGGACGTGTCATGTACCTTGTTGCAGGATTTGACCATTAGTCCGAGACATCATGAGATCTAGGCTGGACGCAACCTTGCAGCATCTCTCCATGTGCCCCTGCACAGGTCTCAGACTCTGGTGCTTTGTCTTGGTACACATTTGGGATGACTGTCTGCCCATGGTACTGATACTCCCCCTCCTTTCCAATGATTATGTTGTGCAAACGTGGTCGAGTGATGAAGAGTTTGGGAGGAAGAACTGTGTGAATCCATGTCCCATATGTGAGAGAGGCCGATGATGTTGGAGAGGAGTAAGCACAGAGATTTATGTTAGCTATCTGAAAGTATGGCATGGTAGTTTACATTTAACATTCAAAGAAGTTTCCCCAGAGCATTTGCCAGATGGTAGTGAAGGGAGGAGGTAATTACATTACTGAGGCTGTGTTTGGAGTATTGCGTATAGTTTTGATCCCCTTACTTGATGAAGGATATAATTGCTTTGAAGGCAGTTCAGAGAAGGCTTATCAGATTGATTCCGGAGATGAAAGGCTTGTTTTGTGAGATGAGATTGAGCAGTTTAGGCCAATACTTGCTCGAGTTAAGAATGAGAGGAGATCTAACTGAGGGATATAAGATGCTTAAGGGGATTGACAAGGTAGGTTAAAAAGGATGTCTCCTTTTGTGGGCAGTATAGAATAAGAGGTCATAGTTTTAGAGTAAGGTGTAGCAGATTTTAAACAGAGATGAGGAGGAATTATTTCTCTCAAAGGGTCATGAATCTGTGGAATACACTCCCCCAGAGTGTGGTGGATGCTGGGACATTGAGTAAATTTATGGAGGAGATGGAGAGATTTTTAATTAATAATGAGGTAAAGGAAGTGGGCAGAAAAGTGGAGTTGAGGCCACAAGGGACTGAATAGCTTCTTCCAGCTCCTCATTCTTTTATGTTCTTATGTAATATGTTGACAGCCTCATTTCCTGCTCACTGACGTACTGTTGAGGAATACAGACCATGTTGCATATGGTGGTCACTTTGTACCAGCAACCATTGCAGTGGTATCCCTCACTTGCTGCACAAAGAGGAATTTGGTGAAATATTCAGTGACCAGAATGGAATGGTGCCCTGGGGTGTGGAAAGTCTCTGGGGAGATCTCACCTCATGGCCCAGGAGGAACCTCGTGTGGAGTGAGAGGCTCTCTCAGTTGTTGAGGTTGTTGGAGGTTTCCCATTTTGATCAGCTGGTTAATGTACATATTGATGCCAAGTCGTTGGCGAAACCTCTTGGTACTTTCTAAGCCCATGTCACCACACGTGTGACCTGGATGGAGATAGTTTTGCATGTCCTCGCATAGAGATGACGGATTAGAGATCTGTTTATCTTTAAACATTACATTCTTAGAGACACCAAGTTCCTCTCTGAATGGCTGGTCTGAGTGTACCTGCTTGGCAACCTCTTGAATATATTCAGGCCATCCAGTGATGATGACTGTTATCGCTGACCATCAGCTAATGTGCGTTGGTGAACCTACTCCACTTTCTTTGATTGATGCTGCAGTCTGGAATCATTGGTGTTTTCAACTGATGGGTCTGTCACCTTGTGGATTGTAATAATATGTTGATTGATGTGTGCTGGTCTACTGACTAGGAAGAGTCTGATCTGTTACATGGAAACAAAGAAAATAGGAGCAGGAGTAGTCCATTAGGCCCTTCGAGCCTGCTGCACCATTCCATATGATCATGGCTGATCATCTAACTCAGTCTCCTGTTCCTGCTTTCTCCACTATTACCTTTATTCCTTTAGCCCAAGTGCTACATCTGATGAAGAGTCACCTTGACTTGAAACATTAGCTCGCTTTCTCTCCATGGATGCTGCCTGACCCGCTGTGATCTCCAGCACTTTTTTGTTTTCAGTATAGATTCCAGCACCTGCAGTAATTTGCTGACAGGTCTAACTCCTTCTTGAAAACATTCAATGTATTAGCATAGCTTTCTGTGGCAGAGAATTCCACGGGCTCTCCACTCCCTGGGTGAAGACATTTCTCCTTATCCCAGTCCTAAATGACCTACCCTGTATCCTTACACTGTGACCCTGGTTCTGAACTCTGCTGTCATCAGGAATATCCTTCCTACATTTGTCCTGTCTAGTCCTGTTAGAATGTTATCGATTTCTATGAGATGGTGGGCAGGCTTTGGGGAGACTGGAGCTGAGTTCCTGGCTGCAGTATTCCTAGCCTCTGACTTGCTCATGTAGCCACTGTGGTTTATATGACCACTCAGGGTTAATCAGTTGACATTGGAATACCAGTAGCAGTTGGTTTACATGGTATATGATGTTAATTGTATTTAGCAGAGGCTGTGACATTATGTAGATCTTACATTTGGACTGTGTAACATGAATCATAATTTAAATTGTTGATTTGCCACACTCATAATTAGCCACATTTGAAGAGGCCAGGCTTGACTCTTGCAGTTACAGATTGGATGCAAGGAACTGCATTTTTTTAAGTTAATCTGATCAAATCGCCCTCTTGCCTACCCAACGGTGGACAAGTGTTGGAAATGTGCAATAACTAAATGCATTCATGTAGCACCCTCAATAGCGCCAAACACTCCAATGTGCTTCACGGGAACGTTATTAAATATTAGAGAATATTAGGATGGGTGACCATGGGCATTAGGACAAGGCTCAGTTAAAGGACTAGGTTTTGAGGAATATCTTAAAGGACAGAGAGAGGTGGAGATGTTCAGGGAAGGTTTTCTTTTTCATTTGCACTTGTGATGGGGGGCATCATTGGCAAAGCCAACATTAATTGCCCATCTTTAATTACCTTTGAACTGAGTGGCTTGCTAGGCCATTTCAGAGGGCAGATAAGAGTCAGCCATAATGCTGTGGGTCTGGAGTCACATGTAGACCAGACCAGGTAAGGATGGCAGACTTTGTTCCTTAAAGAACATTGGTGAACCAGGTGGGTTTTTCAACAATTGTCAATGGTTACATGGCAACATTAGGCTAGCATTTTAATTCCAGTTCTTTCCTAAGTCCAAATTTCACCATCTACCATGGTGGGAATTGAACCCATGTCCCTGAAACATTAGCCTCAGGTTCCGGATTACTGGTTCCATAAGACCATAAGAAATAGAAAGAGGAGAAGGCCATTCAGCCCCTTGAGCCTACTCCACCATTGAATAGAATCATGGCTGATCCGAGATTCCTCACATCCACTTTCCTGCCCTTTCCCTGTAAGCCTGTGATTCCCCGACTGATCAAGAAACTGTCTCAGTCTTAAATGTACACAGAGACTCTGTCCCCACAGCTCTCTGTGACAAGGAGTTCCAAAGACTCACAACCCTCTGAGAGAAGAAATTCCTCTTCATCCCAGTCTTATATTGGTGCCCCTTTATTCTGAGATTATGCCGTCTGGTCCTAGACTCTCCCATGAGGGAGACACCCTGTCAGCATTTACCCTGTAAAGCCTCCTAAGAATCCTATATGTTTCAATGAGATCACCTCTCATTCTTCTAAACTCCAGTGAGTAGGGTCCCAAGCACATGCTGAGTCCCATGGCAGCAGGGGAGCGAATGGCGATTTCCAGAACTGTGGCAGAGCGAGCCAGAGAAGTGGAGGTAGCATGGCCTCATACTCTGGGGCCTGCAGACACAGACTGTAACGTTAATACTTATGGTCACTTATTATCATTCTGGACTTTTTCACTGCTAATCAAATTTTTTTTTTAACTCTATAACAACACTTTCTTTTACTCTGCAAGATTTGCACCTAGGTAACTATAAGCATTAAAGGCAGCCATTGTAGAAACTTTTTACTGTGCACCTGTACTGGATTACATGTGAAAATAAAGGATATTCTGATATTCTCATATTCAATATGATTAGCCTTTATTCATAATACAACCCCATCATAGCAGGGATCAACCTTCTCTGAACTACCCCTAATGAAATGATATCTTCCCTTAAACAAGGGGAACCAAAACTGCTCCAGATGTGGTCTCCCCAGCACCTTGTATAGTTGCAGTGAGACTTCCATAGTCTCACACTCCAACCCCCCTGAAATAAGGGCCAACATTCCATGACCCTTCCTGATTACCTGCTGCCCCGTGTGCTAGCTTTCTGTGTTTTGTTTACAAGCCTCCCCCAAGTCCCTTTGTGTTGCAGCTTTCTGCAGCTTTTCTTTATTTAAATAATACTCTGTTCACATTTTCCCACATTGTACTCTGTTTGGCAACTTCTTGCCTACTGACATAGCCAATCAATATCTCTCTGTAAACTGTTTGTATCCCTCTCTCAACTTGCCTTTCCACCTATTTTTGTGTCATCTGCGAATTTAGCTACAGTACATTCACTTCCTTCCTCCAAGTGATTAAACAGTTGCAGTCCCAGCACATGTCCCTGTGGAACCTCACTGGCTAATCTGAAAAAGAACTTTATAACTCCACTTGGTGTTTCCTGCCCATTAGACAATTCTCTATCCGTACCAACATACCACCTCCAACACTGTGAGCTCTTATCTTGTGACCTGACGCTTTGTGAGATACCTTCTCAAACACCTTCTGGAAGTCTAAAGACAACACATCTACTGGTTCCCCACTATCCACTCCAGTTGAGACTTCCTCCAGAAACTTGAATAAATTAGTCAGGCACAATTTCCGTTTCATGAAGCCATGCTGACATTATCACTATGCTTAGAACCCAGGTAGCTGAAAGAGCAGGCTGATTTAAAGTCTTAAATATCCAAGAGGCCTGCATTGGTTGAACTGAGAGATCTTAGATGATTGTGGCTTTAGAGGATATATGGTGATTGGAAGGATTTTGAAAGCAAGGCTAGAATTTGAAGGGATGGAATGGAAAAGTCTATGGCTCCAGGATTGTCCTGGTATCTCCATGATTGGTCTACAGGACAAGCTAAGAAAGCAAAACACCCAGGAGTTAAATAACAGAGACCATGAAACATAGCTGTAAATAAAGGTAAATTCTTGCAGATGCTGGGAATTTGAAGCAAACACGGAGAATGCTGGAGAAACTCAGCAAGTCTGGCAGCATCTATGAGGATATCGCACTCAAAACATTAACTCTGTTTCTCTCTCCACAGATGCTGCCAGACCCGCTGAGTTTCTCCAGCAATGTTCGCGTTTGCTTCACAAAACAAAGCTGATGCATTTGTCTTGAATCTCTGTGAGCCCTTTCATTCCTTTGTTAGTAATGGTGAGTCAGGGATGGCCAGAAAGAGGTGATGTTGAACTTGTACAAGACTCTTGTTAGCCTCAGTTGGAGTTTTGTGTTGTACAGTTGTGGGGGGGCCACATTGTAGGAGAGATGGGAACATATTGGAGAGAGTGCAGAAGCAATTTCCAAGAATGGTTCCAGGAATGAGAAACTTCAGTGATTAGGATAGATTGAAGAAGTTGGGTCTGTTCCTCTTGGAGAGGAGGAGGCTGGGAGGGGATTTGATAGAGATTTTCAAAATCATGACTGGGCTGGGCAGAGTTGTTAGGGAAAACTTGTAAAAGGAACAAGAACGAGAGGGGCATAGATTTAAAACGATATGCGAATGAGGCAAGGATGATGTGAGAAGTAGTTAGGATGGAGCACAGTGCCTGGAAATGTGGTGGAGGGAGGTTCATTTGAGACATTCAAGAAGGACACTGGATGGTTAGTTGGATAGAAATGGTGTGCAGTGATATGGGAAAAGGCAGGAGATTCCCTCCAGATGATAGAAGCAGTGCAAGTGTGATGAGCTGAGTGGCCTTCTTTCGTGCTACACCAATTCTGTGATAGGACTGAATCTCCAGTGAGATGCCAAATCAGATTTGATGGCCTTAAAGTGGAAAGAAAAGCTGTATGTATTTTTTCATCAACATATTCAGAGATTTTGATACCCACGTCTGGAGCAGGTGGGACTTGAACCCAGGCCTCCTGAACCAGAGGCAGGGACATTACCACTGTGCCAAAGCACCCAACTTACTGTATGTACTCACCTTTAAAAGGGATTAATGGAAGCTGGGTCTAGCCTACAGAAGGACTGCGGTGAAAGTTTACCAAAATTGATTCCTGGGTTGGTAGGACTGATGTCTGAGGAGAGATCAAGTTGGTTCGGATCAAAAACAGAACTCACTGGAGAAACTCAGCAGGTCTGGCAGCGTCTGTGGAGAGAGAAACAGAGTTAATGTTTCAGATCCAGCAACCCTTCTTCAGAACACTGGATCTGAAGCATTAACTCAGCTTTCTTTCCACAGGTGCTGCCAGACCTGTTGAGTTTTTTTTATTTCTGATTTCAGCATCCGCAGTTGTTTGGTTTTTGTGTAGTGGGTTAGGATTGTTTTCGCTGGTGTTTGGAAGAATGAGTGGGGATTCTCATAGAAACCTATAAAATTCTAACAGGACTGGACAGGTTGGCTGCAGGACAGATGTATCCGATAGTGGGGGGGTGGTGGTGTTGGGGGTTTGGGGGGGGGGGAGGGGGGGGTGTGGGGGGGTTTGGGGGGATTGGGGGGGTGTTGGGTGTTGTTGGGGGTGTGGTTTGGGAGGGGTGGGTGGGGGATGGTTGGGGGACGGTGTTAGGGGGTTGGGGGGAGAGAGAGTCCGGGACCAGGGATCATAGTTTAAGGAAAAGAGGTAAACTGTTTAGGACTGAACTGAGAGAAAATATCACAGTGGTGAGCTTCACAGTGGTGAGCCTATGGAATTCTCTTCCATAGAAAGAGGTTGAGGCCAAAACATGGTGTTTTCAAGAAGGAGGTAGACATAGTTCTTGTGGCTAGAGGGATAAAGGGATATGGGGGGAGGACAGAATTAGGGTATTGAGCTCGATGATCAGCCATGATCATATTAAATGGCACAGCAGCTTCAAGGAGCTGAATGGCCTACTCCTGTTCCTATCTTCTGTGTTTCTATGTGGGTGGTTGCCAGGGGATTCTGTTCTGCATCAATGAATGCAGAGGGATTGGTACTTTTGGTGGCATGCTCATAGCTGGTGGACTGACAGTGAGACAGATTGGGAAGGGAAACCTTTGGAAACTGCTCCCAATGCAGTTCCTCTGAATCTCCTCACACTTATTTTGCATTTCTAACTTTCTTTTTTTCCCAGTTGTCGTTTTCTGATTTTGAACAGTCGGAGAAAGACAGTAAATCAATGACCTTGAATGACATCACAGCGGTGAGTTTTGCCTAATCTTCAGTCTCCATTTCGGCAGTTCGCTGCCTTGGGCAGGTTTCTTTTCTCATGGATTTATCCATGCATAGGATGGAGGCGTCACTGGCTGGGCCCAGCGTTTATTGCCCATCCCTAGTTGCCCCTTGAGAAGGTGGTGGTGAGCTGCCTTCTTGAACTGCTGCAGTCCTCCTGCTGTAGGTAGACCCACAATGCCATTAGGGAGGGAATTCCAGGATTCTGACCTAGCAACAGTAAAGGAACAGCGATATATTTCCAAGTCAGGATGGTGAGTGGCTTGGAGGGGAACTTGCAGGGGGATGGTGTTCCCATGTATCTACTGCCCTTGTCCTTCTAGATGATGGTGCTTGCAGGTTTGGAAGGTGCTTTGGATGTTGTTGAGGCCTTGATAAGTCAATTGAGCCAAGGCAGGTGGATGGAGTTGATATACCCAATATAATTGAAGGATAGAACAAACTTGAGGGGCTGAATTGCTTCCAGGTACTTTGATGTTCCAAAACCTTAAGAGGAATCACAGATATCCTCAATCAGTAACCAGCCTCAACCAATATCATTGGAACTCGATTACTGCTCTGCTGTCTGGGGCAACTTGCTGTGTGCAAGTTGACATCTTTAAAATTCATTAATAGGTTGCAGTCCTTGATTAGATTACTTCAGACAAGAGTTAACCACACATTTCTTGCTGTGGGTTTGGAGTCACATGTAGGCAAGACCCGGTATGGATGGCGGATTTTCTTCCTGAAAGGAGGTTAAGTGAACCAAATGGGTTTTTCCAACACTTTACAAGCTTCTAATTCCAAGTTTTTTAATATCTTGAATTTGAATTTCACCAGCTGCTGTGGTGGAATTTGAAACTTTGTCCTGAGGGGGTTAGCCTGCGTCTGCTTGGATTGTTAATCCAATGCTGGCCCCATTAGACCACCATCAAACCGTTTCCTAAATTACAAGAGGGACTATACTTTAAAAGTGCCTCACTTGCAGAATCGTCCTTTGTGACCTACTGTGGTTGCAAAATATGTGATAGCAATGGGAGCTGTTTTCTGTCTATTTTCTCTCTTTCTTCTTCTCTTTCTTCCTCAGTCTCTCTCTCTTTCCCATTTACACTCATCCACTTTGTGCTGTTTCTCTCTCTCTTCCTTTCTTGTCTCTTCCTTTTATCACTTTGATTTTTTCTATCTCTCTTTCTTCCTCTTTTCATTTCTTTGTCCTGGTTTTGCATTTATCTCTCTTCCATTGTATTTCTTCTATGCTTTTCTCTCACCAATTTTCTTGTCCCCTTTGTCTTTTTTTTTGTCTCTCTTTCTTCCTCATTTATTCTCTCTCGTTCTCTTCTTTCTTTTCCCTCTCTTTTTCTCTACTGTTCTTTCTTTCTTTCTTTCTTTCTTTCCCTCTTTCTTTCTTTTCCTCTTTCCTTATTTCCCTCTTTCTCTCCCTCTTTCTCTCTTTCCTTCCCTCTCTTTCTTTCTTTCTTGCCCTTATTATCTCTTTCTTTCCTTCTTTCCCTTTCTGTCTTTCTTGCCCTCGTTATCTCTTTCTTTCCTTCTTTCTCTTTCTTTCCTTCCTTCCTTTCTTCTTTTCTTCCTTCTTTCTTTCTTTTCTTCTTTTCTTCTTTCTTTCCGTCTTTCTCTCTTTTTCCCTCTTTCTCTTTCTTTTTCTTTCTTTCTCTCTTTCCTCTTTTCTTTCTCTCTGTCCCTTTTTTCTTTCTTTCTCTCTTTTTTTCTCTTTCATTCTCTCCCCCTTTCTTCTTATCTTGGCAGCTTCTTTCTCTTTTTCTTTCATTTCCATCCTTCTTCGTTTGTTTCTTTCTTTCTCTCTGTCTTTCTACCTATCTCTCTCTCTCCCTTTCTTTCTTTCACGTTTCTCTCCGATCTTGTTTCAGGAGCAGCATCGTCAGCTCAACAACATCCTAGGATTCGAGGTTTACTCCATGTTGTGTGTTCCTGTCATCTGTAAAGCAACTGCGCAGGTAGTCGCCATGGGCTGTGCATTTAACAAGCGATCAGGCCATTAGTGAGTACAACGTCGCAATCGAAATGTTTAATGAGGCCTTAAAAAAAATGCAACCAAAACAGTTGGGTTAATTTTACAAGCAGTGGAATTGAAAAGCTGGGAGTCGATGACAATCTTGTACTTAGGTTTGGCCAGAGACCCCTGGGGAACTGTCCCTCATATTAACAGAAAGGAGGAAGGATCACTGGAGAACACACAGTATGATCCTATGTTGGTGGTCTCCATTCAAACGATGGGGAAAGGGTCACACTAGCCCCCTATTATAAGTGGCACACCTGAGGAAGCAGAGAATGGCACTGGCTTGGAGGAGGCAGTTCAGCCCATCGGGACTATGCTGTACCACTGTTGGCTACCATGGGCGCTAGACCTGGTTGGATATTCTGCCTCCAACCGCTCTACCGAGCCAATCCCTTTATTCCACATCCACCCCCCACCAACAATATGTTTACAAATAATAATCAAAACTTGACATCAGCTTTGACGTCATGCTTAAGTCAGCCATGACATTGGTAGTGGGAAAACTGATGGAGGCCATAATATGGGACAAGGTAAACATACACTTAGAGAAAAAATAAATGAATGTAAGACAGCCAACATGGCTTTGTCAAGGGTAGATCATGTCTGACAAATGTAATTGAGTTCTTTGATAAGGTGACACAGGCAGTGGATGTAGGTGGTGCTGTGGATGTAGTACATTTGGACTTTAAGAAAGTATTTGATATGGTGCCGCATGGCAGGTTGGTTAGCAAATTAGAAATCTTTGGCATTGATGGGTCCTTGGCAGCATGGATTAGAAGTTAGTTAAAGGATAAGAAACAGAGGGTAGGTATAGATGGGCATTCCTCAGATTGAGGACATGTTGAATGTGTGTTCCCCAGGGATTGGTGTTGGGACCCTGGCTTTTTCTGATTTGTGCAAATTATTTTGAGATGGGTGTTGAGGTCAAAATCTGTAAATTTGCAGATGATACTAAGCTAAGGAGATTAGCGGAATGTGAGGGTGAGGCTGATCAGTGCCAGAGGGACATTGACAAGTTGGCCAAATGGGCTGATACCTGACAGATGAATTTCAATGCAGAGAATTGTGAGGTAATGCATTTTGATAGAGGAAACATGGAGAGATAACACAGGGACAATGGTCCAACTTTGAGTGGAGTACAGGAGCAGACGAACCTCGGGGTTTACATGCATGCTTCTCTGAAGGTGGCCAGGCAAGTGAGGCAGTTAAGGAGGCTTATAGGTTCATTGGGATTATAAATAGAGGCATTGAGTAAAGAAGCAAGGAAGTGATGCTACACCTCTACAAATCATTGGTCAGGCCACATTTGGAGTATTGTGTTCAGTTCTGGGCATCTTATTAAGGAAAGAATGTTAAAGCCCTGGACAGAGTTCAAAGTAGGTCTAGCATGATACCAGGAATGAGGGATTTTAGATACAGGGAAAGATTAGAGAGATTGGGCTTATTCTCCTTGGAACAGAGAAGATTAAGAGGTGACTTGGTTGAGGTGCTGAAAATTGTTCATAGTTTTGACAGGGTAAAGAAGGATATTCAACTTCCTCTGGTTGGTGTGGCAGTAACTAGGGGTGATTGTCAACAAGAGAGCTCAGAGTGAGATAGGGAGAAAATTCTTCACTCAGAGATGAGTTAGGATTCGGAATGCGCTGCCCGGGAGAGTGACAGAGATGGTTTCCATAGGAGGTTTCAAAAGGGAGCTGGACATATATTTGAAAGGAATGAAGTTAGAAGGTTATGGAGATAGGGTGGAGAGTGGGACTAGCTGGGTAGCTTCTTCGGGAGCTGGTACAGACACGATGGGTTGAATGGCCTTCTGCGCTGTAAAATTCTATAATTCGATGTTTCTGTAAAAGCACCCAATAGAAAAGGGTGCAGAAATGAAAATCAGGGATGCTCAGCAGGCCAGAGTGGGGGCACTGACATCTGAAATACCCTCCCAAAATCTCCCGTTACATCTTCTTCCATCTTCCGAGATAATTCTCTTCAGATTACAGATTATGTCCAGGAGTCACAGACTAAGAATATGGGGTAGGCCATTTAGGACTGAGGTGAGGAGAAATGTCCTCACCCAGAGGGTGGAAAGCCTGTGGAATTCTCTAAATCAGAAAGCATTTGAGACCAAAACATTGAACGTTTTCAAGAAGGAGTTAGATAGAGTTCTTAGAGATAAAGGGATCAAAGGGTATGGGGGAGAAAGCGGGAACAGGGGACTGAGTTGAATGATCAGTCACGATCATATTGAATGGTGGAGCAGGCTTGAAGGGCTGAATGGCCTACTCAGTGTTTCATTGTTGGCAGGAAAAACTAAAGGCGCGTTTGAAAAACGGTGTGTGCGATTTCCTGTGAGCATTTATTCATATTAGCAAATTGGCAAGGAGTGTTTGTCTGACAAATATCCTCAACTCCGGTAAAGGAAAGGGCTGGAGACAGGGCTCTGAGAGGAAGGTCATGTTGGGTAACCAATGTCAGGTGTGTTGACTGGGGGAGGGGTGGAAACTATGACCTGTTAGGTGATGACGTTTATACTCAACCAATGGTGGGTAAATTGGAGCGTGGTTCTTGGACACAGGATTGCTTACAGTCATAATGGGAATTCCCCTTTTCTCATTCATTCATTGGATGTGAGTGTTCCTGCCTGGGTCCCACTTATTGCCCCGTCCCCAGTAGCCCTTGAGAAACGTAGAAGATAAAAACAGGAGTAAGCCATTCGGTCCCTCGAATCTGCTTCACCATTCATTATGATCATGGCTGATCATGGCTGATCATCGAGCTCAATACTCTCATCCTAACCTTCCCTCATATCCCTTGTTCCCTTTAGCCACAAGAGTGATATGAATCCCACAGGTTCACCACTCTCTGGGTGAAAAAGCTAGTCACCAGAGTCTTACCAGACCATAACGGCTTCTCTCTCATTAATGATTGAACCTGAGGATCTCCGTGCCTCGGGAGAGGTTGAGAAGGAGAGTCCTTCATGGTAACCTCAGCTGGTGCAGGAACTGAACCCACACTGTTGGCACCGCTCTGTGTCACAAACCAGCCATCCTGCCAACTGAGCTAATGACAAGGTGGGGGTGAGCTGCCGAATTGAACCACTGCAGCCCATGTGCTGTAGGTTGACCCACAATGCCCTTAGGGAGGGAATTCCAGGACAGTGAAGGAATGGCGATCTATTTCCAAGTCAGGATGGTGAGTGACTTGGATGGGAACTTACATGGTGTTCCCATGTATCTGCAGCTCTTGTCCTTCTAGAAGGAAATGGTCGTGGGTTTGGAAGGTGCTCTCGAAGGAGCATTGGTGAATTTCTGCAGTGCATCTTGTAGATAGCACACACTGCTGTTACTGAGCGTTGGTGGTGGAGGAAATGGATGCTTGTGGATGTGATGCCAATCAAGCGGCTGTTTTGTCCTGGATGGTGCCAAGTTTCTTGAGTATTATTGGAGCTGCATCCATCCAGGCAAGTGGGAGTATTCCATCACACTCCCGACTTGTGTCTTGTAGATGGATCCTGCTCAATGACACCCAGTTTGGGTTCCGCCAGGGCCACTCAGCTCTTGATCTCATTACAGCCTTCGTTCAAACATGGACAAAAGAGCTGAATTCCAGAGGTGAGGTGAGAGTGACAGCCCTTGACATCAAGGCTGCATTTGACCGAGTGTGGCATCAAGGAGCCCGAGCAGTACTGGAGTCAATGGAAATTGGGAGAAAACTCTCCGTTGGTTGGAGGCATACCTGGTACAAAGGAAGATGGTTGTGGGTAGTGGAGGTCTGTCGTCTCAGCTGTAGGATCCTTCTGCAGGAGTTCCTCAGGGTAGCGTCCTCGGCCCAACCATCTTCAGCTTCTTCATCGATGACCTTTCCTCCATCATAAGGTCAGAAGAGGGGATGTTTGTTAATAATTGCCCAATATTCAGCACCATTTGCGACTCCTCAGATGGTGCCCTTGTCCTCATCCCTCCCTTACCCCTCATTCCATTCTTCCCCCTCACTTTTCCAGTGAGCTGTGATTGGGTGAGACTCCATGTCTGTCAGTTTCCTTGCCTTATCTCAATGGTTCACCAGCATCCCTGTGTATTGATAGGCAGTTGTCTCCAGGGGGTGTTGGTGTTTCCCTTCTATCCTGTCATCCCCCCAACGCCCACAAAACACACTTCCTGACCAACCTCAGGTAATGATCAGCAAACCTGCATGTTCTCTTCTCCACTTTTCTCCCAATCCTGAATGTGTGTGTTTGGCACAGAGATTGAGTATTGCTTAAAAAAAAGACAGATTTTGTTGAGATTATTTGCCTTGCTGTCACCAGGACAATTCGCAACATTTTGTAATGTATGAGACCAGCATCCTGGTTGGTTAGCAAGTGGAATCTTATCAGTAGAGGCAAGCCAGAGATAATGTACCAGTTAGATGATGACTGGGAGTTAACTGCCAAGCTTTGTTTAACTACCATCTAGAAGAACAAGGGCAGCAGATACATGGGAACGCCATCACCTGCCAATTCCCCTCCAAGCCACTCACCATTTTGACATGAAACTATATCACCATTCCTTCATTGTTGCTGGGTCAAAATCCTGGAATTCCCTCCCTGAGGGCAGTGTGGGTCTACCTACAGCACGTGGACTGCAGTGGTTCAAGAAGGCAGCTCACCACCACCTTCCCAAGGGAATGTAAAGACGGGCAATAAATGCTGAGCCCAGCCAGAGAAACCCACGCCCCGTTATCAAATAAAAAGAAACATCAGTCATGGCAGAACAAGTCTTGTTTGGTGAAGTCATTGCCTTGAAAAATGAACTGCTTGTTGCCTATTTTGTTGAGTTGAGGTATGTCTTCATTCTGTCTGCAATGATCAGGACCCCGACTATCAATATATACATGTAACTTCGAGTACACACCTGTGTGTCACACTGTGAGCCCAACTGATCATCCTAAATTGGTTGTCAGTGTAATTCTTCACACAATGGGGATTACTTAGCAATAGTTTAGCAATCTGGAGAGTACAGTTCCCCTCACACTCATCCTGAACCCAGCACCAACTAGCGATTTAATATAGAGTCTTTATGCCTTTACTGTTGCTTTTTGACTCTCCTCTGTTCATTGGCTTTCTCTCTAGGTATCCCTCTGTCTCTCCTCATTCCTCTCACCTCTCTCTTTAGTATCTTTTGTCACTCCTTCTCCATTTCTGCATCAGAATCACAGAAGTGCCACTGCACAGAATGATACCATTCTGGCCATTATGTGTGCATCAGCTCTCCAAATGATTGTGATGACTGAGAGCTTTCTCCTGCCTTTTCCCTTGTGAATTATTTTTATTTAAATAACCACCCAATGCCCCTCTTCAATGCCTCCATTGAATCTGCCTCCACCACATTTCCAGGCAGTGCATTTCCAGATCCTAACTACAGTACAGCTGTACGCAATATTCTCGCTGGGGGTCTTGTACAAGTGTCTTGTACAAGTTCAGCATCACCTCCTTGCTCTTGTACTCTGTGCCCCTATTAATAAAGATGAGGACACTGTGCTTTGTTAACTGCTCCCTCTACCCATCCTGCCACCTTCAATGATCTGTGCATACGTTCACCCAGCTCCCTCTGCTCCTGCACCCCCTTTAGAATTGTACCCCACATTTTTATTTTGTCTTCCAATGTTTTTCTGACCAACGTGCATCACCTCACACTTCTCTGCATTGAACCTCATCTGTTGCTTATTTGCCCACTCCACCAGCTTGTCAATGTCCATCTGGAGCTGCACATTGTCCTCCTCACGGTTAACAATTCTTCCACTTTAGATTAGGTTATTAATATATTTCCAGGTAAAGCAAGGGTTCCAATACTGACTCCTGGGGAACTCCACTATAAACTATCCTCCAGCTTGAAAAATACCCATTGACTATGATGTAAAACTAGATGAACACAGCAGGCCAAGCAGCATCAGAGGAGCAGGAAGGCCGATGTTTCGGGCCTAGACCCTTCTTCAGTCTAGGCCCGAAACGTCAGCCTTCCTGCTCCTCTGATGCTGCTTGGCCTGCTGTGTTCATCCAGCTCTACACCTTGTTATCTCAGATTCTCCAGCATCTGCAGTTCCTGCTTTCTCATTGACTATGACTCTCTGTTTGCTATCACTCAGCTGGTTCTGTGTCCACATTGTTACTGTCCCTTTTATACCATGATGTCTAACTTTCCTCAAAAGTCTGTTGTATAGGAGTTGGGATGTCATGTTGAGGTTGTACAGGACGTTGGTGAAGCCTCTACTGGAATACTGTGTCCATTTCTGGTCTCCCCATTATAGGAAGGATACTATTAGGCTGGAGAGAATTCAGAAAAGATTTACCAGGATGTTGCTGGGAATGGAGGGTCTGAGTTATGAAGAGAGAGACTGGATAGGCTGGGATTTTTTTCCACTGGAGCATAGGAGATTGACGGGTGACCTTATAGAGGTTTATAAAATCATGAGGGGTATACATAAGGTGATAAAGTCTTTTCCTTAAAGTAGGGGATTTCAAGACTTGCGGGGATATTTTTAAGGGGAGAGGAGAAAGATTTAAAACAGACATGAGGGGCAACTTTTTTACTCAGAGAGTTGTTCATGTGTGGAATGAACTTCTGAGGAAGTGGTGGATGGGGGTACAGTTACAACATTTAAAAGACATTTGGATAAGTACGTGAATAAGAAATGTTTGAAGGGATATGGGCCAGGAGAGGCAGGTGGGACTAGTTTAGTTTGTGAACCTGGTGGGCATGGACTGGTTGGACCGAAGGGCCTGTTTCCGTGCTGCATGACTCTATGACAGTGACTGTAAGGAGTTAGATATAGTTCTGAGTGCTAAAGGGATCAAAGGATATGGAGAGAAAGCAGGAACAGGGAACTGAATTGGATGATCAGCCATGATCATATTGAATGGTGGAGCAGGTCTGAAGGGCTGAATGGCCTACTCCTGCTCTTATGTGTCTATGTTAAGTTCCCTCAGGATTTTATATGTCTCAATCAGTTCGACTCTTACTCTTTCAAACTCTAATGGATACAGGCCCAGTCTGCCCAACCTTTGGTCTTTTATATAACCCACAACCACATCCCCTCCCAGTCTAAAGAATCTCATCGTGTAGCTCTTTGTTGCTATTTATTTTCGCCAATCAGTGATGACAGACTGGAAGACCTGGGGGTCTGAGTTGGTAAACCAGATTGAAGGGGGAATTTTAAAAAATTATTTCATGGGATGAGGACATCACTGGCTTGGCAGTATTTATTGGATAACTGCAATCAGAGGTCAACCACATTGCTGTGAGTCTGGAGTCACGTGTAGGCCAGACCAAGTAAGGATGGCAGCTTCCTCCCTTAAAGGACATTAGTGAAGAAGATGGGCTTTCCCCTGACAATTGACAACGGCGTCATGGATTCCAGATGTTCTTTAATTGAATTCAAATTCCGCCATCTGCCATGGGGATACAAATTCGGGTCCCCACAACATTACCTGGGTCTCTGGATTAACAGTCTAGGGATAATACCACTAGGCCCTCACCTCCCCTTCATGGACCGACTTACATTGGAGGTGATATAGCCAAGGGTCAATCAATTGGTCCCTAGGATGAGGGGTTGTCCTATGATGAGGAAATTGAGCCTGTCCTCTCTGGAGTTTAGAAGAATGGGAGGTTATCTCATTGAGATACATAAGATTCTGAAGGAGCTTGACAGGGTAGACCCTGAGAAATTGTGTCCTCTGGACAGGGAATCTAGAACATGGGCTGGACTGTGTGTGCCAGGGGGTCAAAATCTCAGGAAAGGGAGCTGATCGTTTTTGCATGCTCACCTTCATTGCTCAGAACATTGAGGATAGGATTTGGGATGTCATGTTGTGGCTGTACAGGACATTGGTAAAGCCATTTTGAGAAAATTGCTTACAATTCTGGTCTCCTGCCTGCAGGAAAATATTTGTTAAACTTGAGAAGACGCAGAAAAGATTTACAAGAATATTGTCAGGTTTGAGCTATGCAGAGAACCTGAATAGGCTGGGGCTATTTTCCCTGGAGCGTCAAAGGCTGAGGGGTGACTTTATAGAGGTTTATAAAATCATGGGGGGCATGGATAGGGTGGACAGCCAAGGTCTTTTTTCTAGGGTGGAGGAGTCCAAATCTAGAGGGCATAGTTTAATGTGAAAGGAGAAGAGTTTATAAAGGACTTGAGGGGTAACTTTTTCACACAGAAGGTGGTGCGTGTATGGAATGAGCTGCCAGAGGAAGTGGTGGAGGCTGGTACAATTACAACATTTAAAAAGCATCTGGATGGGTACATGAATAGGAAGGGTTTAGAGGGATATGGGCCGAATGCTGGCAAATGGGACTGGATTAATTTAGGACATCTGGTCAGCATGGATGAGTTGGGCCGAAGGGTCTGTTTCCATGCTGCACTGTTCTATGACTCCGTGAAAGTCTTCACTCAAAGTGTTGTGAATCTTTAGAATTCTCTACTCCAGAGGGCTGCAGATGCCAAACCATTGAATTTATTCAAAACTGGGGTAGACAAGTCTTTGGTTTCTTGGGGAGGCCAGGGGATATGGGGAGTGTGCGGGAAAGTTGGAGCTGAGACCAAGATCGGCCGTGATTGGATTGAATGATGCAGCAAGCTCGATGGGCTGAATGGCCTACTTGCGCTCTGATTGCTGGTGTGTTGGTGTCTTTGTTAATGTGGGAAAATTATTCACAGCAAAGCTTGTAACCCACCCAACTGTGTGCCCTGTCTTTCTCTGCAGTTACACCGAAGTGGATGAGCACAAGATTCGACATTGCTTCCGGTACACAGCGACAGTCCTGACAAGCACGATGTCTGTTCAGAAGGAGCGCAAGCTGAAGTTTGAATGTCAGGTAATGTGGCTGACAGGCTCAGAGCTTAGACCAGCTCCTCACTGATCCGCACTCCCATAATAATGTTCCACCAAACACACCCACCCCATGCACGGCCTGAGAGTCTCAACTGTGGCTCGGGAGGACCTCAAACACTTGGGAGTCGGGGGTTAAGGGTTCGATTTCCACTCCACAGATGCATTGGCAAACTCAGGACTGAAGCAAATAAAGACAGTCAGTGCTGAGGGCGTGCCGCACTGT